TGAATACGGTACCTCCGATACCTAATGTTCCCTCCGGCCGATTGTTCCGGCTACCCATTCCAATATTTAAGTACCACGTCCCCAAATTGCTCTAACTCTACTTCATGCTCCCACGTGCACTTAGCCAACCCCGTCCAATGAGTGTAGTACTGAACCGCCCCCTTCCCACTTATACCTCGACAAATCCTGTGCCTTGATATTTTACACGGGACCAATTCTTTACAATCCACTTCTTCCTCCACGTCCTCTGCCGTAAGGTGGAACGGAGGCGCTAACTCTGAAAACTTATTCAACACATACTTGCTAAAGCCCCACGGCAAGAACCTAGGCCTATCCTCGTTCTCGTGCTTTGTATAACACTTCTTACACCGATACACCGACACGCTCTCATTAATGTTCGTCCCTGGTTCATCCTTTTTCACGTCCAAATACAAAATATTCGGGCCCACTTTTTCCCCTTCAGGATCCGTCCCTGGACCCACAAACAACACATTATACGGCCCGGTCCAACTATGTGCCAACTTCGGGATCAACGCGAACGATTTTTCCTCACCTCGTACCATTCACTGGCGATTCAAGCACGTGTTCCCCCCCACCAGGAGTCGTACTCTTCTCATCATACACTAAGACCCAGTCCCCCTCCTTGTACTTCGGCCTCTTGCCTATTATCGAGTTCAACACCTGATTGCTCTTCTCATGCTTAGCCTTGGTTATCTTATCCTGCTCTCTTACCAACTCGTACGCCTTCCTTTGCTTATCCCTCATCAAATTCAAATAATCCAATTGGTCTTGCTTTAGGCCCTGATTTCCCGAAACACCCCTTCCCTCCAAGATCGTCATCGGCAACCTCGGGTACCTTCCAATGTGTACAACGTTTGGTGCTAGCCCCGTCCCTCGGCTCACGTTATTGTTGTGTGCCGCTACCGNCCCCCTATCTGACAACATGGTGTGCGGACAACCCGACCTCGCGATATAATCGTTCACCATGATAGACACAAAACCCTTCGCATTTTTCTGTGCCTCCGTTAGTGGGTACCCCTCGGCATGCCTGCTGAATAAATCTACCACCAGAAACACGTTCTCGTTGTCTTTCGTCGTTTTCGGCAACGGCCCCAAATAATCAAACGACACCATCTGCCCCGGTCTGCTCGGAAGAGGCAAAGACACTAACGGCCAACACTTCGTATGCCGCGGCACCNGGCACATACGTCCGAACTAGCTCTTCAACCACCAATCTCTCAAATTGCCCTGGATTTCTATTTGGATTTTGCGCAGGGGCTTTTAATTCTTTCCTCACCAACAAATGCTTCGAATTCGGCACCACCAACAAAGTACCCTGGGAAACCAACCGCGTCAACTCATCCAAGTCGACATCTACCCCTTCCGGAATATCTCCCCCCTTCGTTCTCTTTGGATCAGCGTGCCCTTCAATTGCCGTAGTTGCTAATCGCGCCGTGTCGTCTTCCTCTTGAATATCTGCCCAATCACTAGCCGTCTTATCGCATAAATTTTCCCCAATTTCAATTGCCGCTTGCGTCTGTTCTTCATCATACTCTTGCAACGGAATTTGAGGCAACGGAGGTGCTGCCGGACCCCTGCCCCCGGAACCCCTTCCCCTACCACCACCAGCAGCCCCTCTTCCTCGACCCCTTCCACGCGCAACAGCCCTGCTACTACGAGCACTACTGCCACCCCCACCATCAGCAACAGTCCCACTCCCACGAGCGTTACTACTACCCCCACCACCAGCAACAGCCCCACTCCCACGAGCGTTATTGCTACTACCACCATCACCACCAGAGGCACTGCCCCCTCCTTGCATAAACTCGCGATTTTTCCACCAATCCCAACAAGCGTCTGCCAACTTCCGTTAAAGGAACCGCATGCAATATCAGCCCTGGCTCAAACTGACCACTGACTACTTCCCCACTCGGTTCCACCNACTACCACCATCACCACCAGAGGCACTGCCCCCTCCTTGCATAAACTCGCGATTTTTCCACCAATCCCAACAAGCGTCTGCCAACTTCCGTTAAAGGAACCGCATGCAATATCAGCCCTGGCTCAAACTGACCACTGACTGCTTCCCCACTCGGTTCCACCGACCGGGTGTCATCAGGCACACACGCACCATCAGGCAAAGGGTTGGACACGCCCTTTCCGGGCATGCAGAAGCTGAGTGGTGGAAATCTACCCCCGGAATCTGTGAGAAACCACGCGCAACCATACGGGCTTTGAAGGCGGTGATCATACCCTTCTCGTTCGTCTTGTACGAAAACACCCACTTCGAACTCACTGCCTTCCGCCCCTCGGGAAGTTTTCCAATTTTCGTGAAAGTCCCCGCCTTGTCTAGACCGCCCTTCTCTTTCATCATCGCCGCTTCCCAAAACACCTTGTACTTGGAATCCATCGCATCTTTGTATGTGAGCGGGACAGCCTCTGCATCGTTAGGCTTCTGCCCGATCGGCGAGGGAATACTTAGCTCTGGATCAAGGAGTGGTTGCGGAGACCCGTCGTCTTTTTCGTTTGCACTGACTGCCAGCTCCAGCTGCCCTGCATCAGGATGGAGCGCCTTCACTAGATCGTACTGTAACTGCTTCTTCAGCTCCTACAAGCTGCTTACTACTGATGTAGCTCGCTTCTGATTTCATCACGCGACCCTGGCCTCTAGCCTATGGGTTTTCGAGGATACCAACCAGGCTACCGGGGCGACCTTATGCACAACAACCCAATGTATATGCTTAATGGATTGTGATGTGGGCGATAGGGTCGCTCTCGACGCAACGAAAACGATAGATTGATTGATGGACAAAAGGGAATGCAAGTATGTACCGCGAGAGTATCATGTATTATTGTGTGTCAATTTTGTCCGTCTGCTGATTGTGATTAGGGTGACGACGCAAGATGACACGCCCGGAAAATTTCCCATGGACGGATGTGGGTGGGTGAGTTGATCAGAGGCAAAATTTGTTCTTGTCTCCGGACAAACAGCGTTGGATGGTAGTAAATAGGACGAGGTATTTTTTCAAAAATGTTCATCTCGTCTCCGAAAAGGTCTCTCCGCCGGGAGATTCGAGGCGAGCCCACAGACAGGAGATCTCAACATACCCCCGGCGTTATTGCCAAGCAAGCAGACCAGATTAAGGAGCAATGAAATGGCTATACCTTTCTACCGTCAACTGGGAACGAACCCATTGGGGCCAAGACGGGTAATTCGATATAGAGAAGTACTGGCCTCTGTGAGGCAGAATCTTCTTTAGGATCGAGTCCATTAAAGAAGGGGCCTCAGGACTGACACATGTTACATGCAGGAAGTTGTCCAAGTCAGGAGAAAAATGTGCACAACCGGAGTATCGAACCAGTGCTGCCCTTGACGACGCCATGTTATGATTGTTCGGTAAAAAAAGTCGTTGACCACACGGTACCTGTTCGTCGTTGACCTCACAGGTGGCCGTTGCCGATACGATCACTGCAACCAACCCCTTGCTGCGCGGATCCGATACGTCCACCTCAGAAAGTGCCGGAGGCGGGGCTTAGTTTTGGCCGTCTCATGCAAGGATTGCGTCGTGATCAATGTTTATCCACCACAACTCCTGCGCCTCCACCTCCAACGGTTCCAAAAACCTGAAACCACCTGTGCATATCCTTGATCAGTTTAACATGTTGTGCACTCCAATTTACTTCGGTTCCAATCGCCCACTGCTTCTTCATTTGGTGTGATGCGACGTGGGACGAACACTCCCCGAACTTGTTAGACGAGTCTCGCTAGCAGCGCCGCTGCCCCCTTCCTAACGAACGGCACATACATCGGGTAAATGGATACATCCCCGTGTCCGGTCGCGAACGATCAGGGGAACCCCTCTTCGTGGGCCGTTCGACGTGTAGACTAGTCTAGGCGCCCACACCAACTTCCGAATGTTGAAGAGCAGTTGCAGCACGTCCGGTCCTTTCTTTACCCGCAAAACTTCGGCCCTAAGCAAGAGACATGACAAGCCCTAACGAAATCATATTTCTTGTCTCTGGCGATAGACCCCTGCCGTGTCGCCGCTCCTACCGGAACATGCCCTCGAGCATCCGGACGACGCGATCCGACTGGAAGGCGATGAGTTTGTTGACCGAGGCCTCTTGCTCCCCCTCAGTGCTCCCGTATGCCCTGTTTACTTTCGGCTCCTCTCTGCTTCCTTCGTCGTGCCCCCCTTCTTGCCCTTCATCGTCTCCCTGCTGATCTTCCTTTTCGTCCGTCTCCCTCTCGTTTTCGTTGCGATTATCGCCATCTTGATCGCCGCCCCTCCCCCGCCGCCTAGCCGTAGCAGTCTCCAAAACCCGCACGTGTGCCCTACCGGCGGGAGATCTAGCAAGGCTATTATTTTGTGGAGGAGGAGTGTTGCCGCCGCTCTCATTATCGTTCGGGGCTTGGACTTTGTCTTCCAGTCCGGCGACGTCCCAACCCAACCACGGCGTTGCCGCGTTCGGTCTCCCCCTCCTCAATTGATCATAGCCATACGACGAATCATGTTTTTCCTCATCCTCGACGTTGGTCTCCGCCGCAGTATAATCCACCGCGACTGCTGTTTTTTGTCTTGTCGTGTTTCGAGTCCTGCCAACACTGGAATCTCCGTGCCTGTGTGTTTGCTGCTGTCGCCTACCGGGCCATAACCGGCGGGCCGACGAACCGTCATCTGCCAACGACGTTGCGCAATTGTCGTCACCGTAGCTGATACCACCGTCACTGGCCGGGAGCGACCGCCGGTGCCAAGAGCGAAGACCGGTGACGTGCTCTTGCACCACCGTCGCAAAGTCCACGAAGCCGGCGTAGTCGAGGACGTGGTCCTTTGTGTCCTGAGATGGTTGCCCGAGGGGAGAGGTTTACAAACAACACAGGCCCGTGAAGGGTACGAAGTACAGTCGTCCCTTTGCGTAAGGACACCACTGTTACGGGCACCCCCCCGGATGAGGACGCCTTTTTCTTCACAGGCATGGTGCCCCGCAGAATGTACGACATAAGGGGGGTATCAATCTGAAGGACACTCCCCCGGCTTAAGGACACGGGTTTCAAGGGGAAAACCATGTGTGGTGTCCTTAACCGAGGGACGAGTGTACACAGACCGGTGGTTTAGGTTAAAGGTGGCCCCACAGAACGAGTGTACACATGCCGGTGGTTTAGGTTAAAGGTGGCCCCACAGAAGTTGGTGGAGAGTCCGGGGGCTCGTGCCCTGGCATGCTACCGGCGCACGTGTCCTTGAATGACTAAGCTTCATCGTGTGTTCGTTTGCAAGGGAGGAAAGGGGTTCTAACCCCTCGCGCCAAAACCAATGAGGGTAGCATGGTTGAAGGAAGTCCGAGGGGTCACTTCGAAAGGAAAAATTCTTTGAGATCCCTGTTCTACCAGGGTGGCTTAAGGAGGGCGTCAGACCGGCGTTGAGAGAGGAAGGTTGGACTACCACATGCGAAAATTGGTGACAGTAGTAAAGAACGTCGGTTGATCGGCCTAGCGTGACTTCAAGCGAGTGACGGCTTGGCGTTATAAATGGCAAAGAGCGAGAAGATTTGTGGGTGTAATTTGCTACCGTTGTTCAAGGCAGGAGCATCAAAACGCACGGAAGAAGTACCGTTTTCTATTCATTCCTATAATGCTGGAACCCTTGGACTAGATAGTCCACAACTTTCCAGGTGTTTTCAGAGTGTTGGCCGGAGTCACACGGAAGAAAATCTTGCTCAACTTTTGTGACAAAAGAAGTTCAACCCCATCCCCCGCACTGCCTGAAAACCACAGATGCTGTTAAGCGAGACACAATGATAAAGAAAGCGACAATGGTGGTTAATCCGCAAGAAAATCAGTCAAGATTGCCGAGGCTCGTGTACAACAGCTGTGACGAACGTCTGGTGTTCTTCTAAATATCCGTAGGTGTCCGGAGGTTTTCATGAGTGAAAAAAATATTTATTGTGCAATTGTCCTCTGCCCTTTCGGAGACTTTCAAGCATAAACAGTAATTCAGGATACGAGCCATCGCAGTGGGAACGAAATTGGGCCTGCCCACGTGCGGCAGGAGCATACCCCTCGCTCACCACGCAATCCCGAACGACCTCGGCGCCATGAATCCCAAGCGTCATCGGATCTCGCCGGGTCACAATGGTCCGCAGAAGGCTTCGTTCCCGAAATAGGCGGTACAGCTCACCCTCCCATTCCCACCCAAAAACCTGTGCTCGGTTTTAGACATATTGTTACGTGATGGCCGTCAAAGGAACAAGGGAAGGGAGGAAGGAGGTGGTGCACACGGACGAGGCGAGCGAACCCAAAGGGTGCTGCGTGACATCTCCCAAACGTGGAAAGTCAGACGATGTTCCATGCGCATGTCGCTTAATACAGTTGGTGTTGTAACACTCTACGGGAATACAACCTGCTTTTTGTTGGGATTCTGTTAGCTGAACGGCGTGCGGTTCAAAGCTGTGGCTGTGAGGCTCGCCGCCTAGAAGGCAAGCACAGGAGGAATACGCAACGCTGCTGGTAACAGCCGTGCCCATCACGCGGCCGCTCCTCACCCACTCGCTCACCTGCCCATAAAGGTTGTTCACTGCGTGCGTTACGCCTCCTCGGAAGACGATGCAGGCGTCCGCATTGTTCTTGGATCCAGGACCGATCCTGCGGGAAGAAGACGGGGTGATACATAGGGCCACGCCATTCCCCGTGTATTGTAGGCGTGCACGTGCCGTGCGGTAGGTTACATGAGATCGAATTTTTGCGTCACAGAGAAGGATTGGCGACACTGGCAATACTCTTTTCTCCAACGACAACTTGAAAAAGATAACCCGTGTGTAGGATGGATGACCCGTGTGGGAACTCGCACGCGCACGCGTTCTCAGCCGTACGTCGTATGAACAAGAGAAAACACTGGGCACGTTTTCCAGATAAGGAAACGGGTTTTGCGCAACACCATTTGTTAGTTTCCAATAATGGAAATTTCCAACCGCATTGGTACCAGGTACACTCACTCGCAGGTCCACCGAGAACCTTTCAAAATCATTCCATATTGAAGCAGAAGGGTCGATGTAAACCAAAAGCAATCCTCCATTCGTCTCTGACATTGGTTTGCCGCACGTTCAGACGGTTACAGATCATGTTATCTTGTTTCTGCTCCCTCTCTCGTCCAAGCACACATACTCATTGGTCAGCTGGTTGGGAACGGTCGATGCTAATCTAAAAACAAACACGCACACACACACAAACTCGCCATGGCTGATGGTGCGAGTAAGGACAAGCGGGTCTGGAGCACGCAGAAGTTGTCAGGAAACGGTCGCAAAGTTGGTTCCCGTGCGCATCGACCGCTTTGCCCCGGCCGGGAAGCCCCTCCCCCGTCGTAAGCCTGCCGCCGCCGATGGCCAAACACCGAAAAGATGGTTTGTGAGGGGCTCATTTAGACATAAACGATTGCGGACATTTCTTTACTCCCTTGGTGTGAGTTTCTACCAGACACCACGTCAGGCCGTCAAACGAACAAAAAATACACTTCTTCGCCTTTTCGGCATGGATCTCAACCGGGGGTGTGCGTGCACCGACTTTCCTGCTCCATCGCCAAGCGCCGTGAATTCTTGGCCCAATGTTATGGTTGTCTCACGTTTCCTCCCGAGCTTGTCTTTTCGGGCAACAATAGGGGGAGGTTCGCACCTGGTTCGCACCCCGCGCTCTCTAACGTTGATTAGCGAGGGTTGCTCCACGCCTGGAATACACAGTCAGAGCCCTCTCTCATGCACCAAACAATTTTAAATGGCTTGCGCAAACGTTGCACCTCTGCTTGGCACGCTTGGTCCATGGGCGAATAGCCGAACGCTAAAGCACAAAAATCTATGTACCAGTAGTCTTTTAGCAAAACTGTTTAAGCAGTATCACCTCGTCAACCCTGGCACGACCAAACGAGCACCTCGTACACACAAACCTGCCCCATTGTAAAAATTCCAGCGTTCTCTTGGCGAGGTGTCCGGGTGTGAGCGGGTGGAGCCGCCACTCCCGCCGCAACCTGGAGCGGAGGTCCGCCATCGTGTGGTTCACGTGCCCGAGAACCTGCAGCAAAGTCGAGATAGAGCCCGCACGTTAGAGCTTGGCCGTGAAGAAATTGAGTCTCCGAAAGCTCAAACCATGAGAACTTGAGCACTATGCAAGCCCGGTTAAGAACCCCCACTCTAAAACCTTTATGTAGCGGCCATTTGCAGCCCACAGAGAACCTAAGAACCCCAGTCTCACCCAAAATTAGAGGTTTTCTATGTGCGGGCGCTATCTGTAGTCGAAAACCGCCAGTTCACCACGGGGTATTGCCGACAGCAACAACGGCACCCTCGTGCACAGTAGTCATCAATCATGAAATTGAAATGGGTGATGATGTCGCTTGCCTTTCCCAAGTACTTAGATGTTGCTCTTCCCTCTCGGACACGTGCGAGCTTTAGAGCTCACGGTTCAACGGTGAGCTACAGGGCAACGGTGAGCTATAGAGCAGAGGCAGCATGGGCACCCCGTTACGCTCGGATTGTGACAACCGCACGTTGCCCCACATTCAATGTCGTCAAGTGCCCCCTCTTGTACCGGACTTTCTCGTACCGACGAACTCGTCAGCCTTCTGAGCACCACGCCCGCCAACGCCCAAGAAAGCGGCGACAAGCTGCAAACCGGGCGTAGAGCTGGGGTGCGCGCCCGGAGAACACCAACTTCTCACGATGCTTATCACTGTTTCTACGATATGATGAGCCCGTCGCAAGCTAAAGGAGCCGCGTCTGACAACTGAACATCGTGTGTTCTTTGGCATACAATTATAAAGCCATGTCAAATGACACCACGGGGGCGGCGAAGATGTGCTTGGTGGCAAGAGCGCCCCAAAATCGTGTTTTTCGTACCATGCTTTGTAGTGCACGTTTCATAAGGTCACTGTTGTTCATGTTGTCAGGACTCGATTTTGCACTCCATGTAGCAGGCGGGGCTGCTACTTAACCCCAAAATATTTTCTTCAGGAGGGTCCATACATTGATCAGCACACCGCCACATCCGGTGGCGTTCGACCGATGCCATGGATTGGCTCTAAGCGGTTGCACTACGGCATGCTGTATTTTCGAAGCATGAGTCCTCGAGGCAAGGGGGGATGGCACAATTTTCTAGCCTTTTACGTTCGTGGTTTGGTGTTTGTTGGGTTGATTGTGATAACGTTTCCTTCGAGTTGGGAACCCTGTGTAGCCTCTACGCAGCAGCTGTACCTCCGTACGACACAAGTCGACGGCTGTGGCTGCGCAAAGGAGTTAGAAAAGCCACCTATGACTTGCGGCCACAACATGCTGCCGAATCGGACTTGAAAACGATTGTTAAGGTAATAGAACGAAACACGATCGACCTCAGTCCTGGCTAACCGCTCACCGATCCAACAGGAGGAAAGCCGAATCCCACCTCGTGAAAGGGTACGAACGGCGAATGTCTGTCGTTCTTCTACGGGGGCACAGGTAGTGATATACGCGTAAAGCGCACGCGGTGCCACCAACGGGGAAGAAAAAAACGCTTCACCTGCGACGAGCGATAACCGAGCAGCTCGAGGATGGACAAAACATCGTCCTCGGAAAGGGAGACGAAACTGCCGCAGTGCCGCATCTTCGGTCCGCCCAGAAATCTCACGATCCCGTCCGACGCCCCTACCACTATGCTCGCCGTTGTCACCAGCCCTGCGTGGGGGCACTCGTCGTCTGAGACCGGTATCTGTCCGGAACCGCGGTCTACTGTCTGTTTCATGGCAGACGCAACAACAGGTTCAAGGGACAGGTGAAAGAAGTCGGAGGTGGGAAGCGGTGAGGTAGGATAGCGATATCCCCAGGTACAGTAAGTGCTCGAACGCAAACAAAATCAGATCCCATGTGTAGTCGACGTATTGCAAGGAAGCAGTCCCCCGTGCTGAAGAGATATCACAACTCTTCAGTCGTGAATGTACACCTCTTCCTCGGTCTGTCTATGCAAGCACGCCAACCTGACAACTAGACCTTTTATTCCCCAAACTTTGTGGTCAACTAGTGTCACCTTCAGCCTCGCGAAACGTGCCGACACCGGCGTCCCTGTACCCCAGTCCATGGCACCACCATTCGCCGCGCCCCCTTGCTCCTCTGCGACCCCGGACTCTTCATGCCGGTTTTGACCACTGGTGGTGGCGTTCTCCCCGCCCTTACACTCCCCCGACAGCAGATCGCCCGCAGATCGCTTCTTTTCCTTAGCGGTTTCTTCGCCGTTCTCGCAGCCGTGCCCGACGCCGGCAAGCCCGGGTCCGAATTCTCTCATAAGGAGCCACCTCCCGGAGAGATGGGAGTAGACAAGAACCTGAAATTATGGGGGTGCATCCCAATACCAGGGTGAAGAAAGGATAGGATGTCTTCAATATCGTTAGACCGTGTTCATCATGGCAGGATCCACGAATGTAGACGCTAGCATACATCATAGCAGTATCCATTAACGTACACGCTAGCACCTCTCTACAACCCGAGCCAGAGGATGTGGGTTCGGCGCGTGGGTAAGGGGGGAGAAGGCAGGATCCTCGTTTCTCGACATATGGGTCGTGTCCACCACACAGCACCGATAGGGGCACGAATGCTCGTGCAGCCGCGGTTAGTGGTGAGCGGCAATCGGATAGTGTGGCGACGGACAACAACAACAACGTAAAAACATACCAACGTTACTTTGTTACGGGGGTTCCCGGTGTGATGTTGACAGGTGGGCACGGGCGAAGAATGAGAGGTAAATCTTCTCCAAAGTGAAAAGAGGGGGCGGCAAAGGGCACCAAGACAATCTGTCGTGGCAAGCACAGATGGGGGATTGTTGAGCGCTGCAGGATTGATACGTGTGACTACGCTGCAGTAACGGATCGATTTCCCCTCCCGACAGAGTCTTCACTAGTGGTTCGCCTGCCCGCGCTGTCCTTTGGTCCTGTGCTGCTCACAAGAACGTGCCCTGCTGAGCATAGCATAGCAGTATGGAAAATGAGCGGCAACCCCAGTAGTTGACGCCCACGCCTAGAACTACGCAGCGGCTTGTGCGTCGAAAAAACACCGGAGGATGAAATGTCATGACCCCCCTTCGCCTTCGCTAGTCGTACCTGAAAGCAGATAGATGTGATCGTCACCCCTAGAAGCAAAACATGACCTCCTCCCC